CACCCCAACCTCCATGTCAGGGCCTGATCCTGCACTGCAGTGCAAATAGCCTTCTCACAAAGTTGTAACAAAGCATAAACAGATAAACCCTCCCAAATAAAGATCTCCATACGTGTTAAGTCTCCTACCAGCATGTACTTTTCTTTCATTTACCATTTGTAGAGGTAGAGCACTTAACATATGATAAAGTGCAGAGAGCTCCTGCAAGATGAGACCAAACTGATTATACTATGCTTTAGGCAAAATAGTATTATATCCAGCACTCTGGAAAGGGCTATCCAGGTCCTATCTTGGTTTGCCTATAAACAACAGATTCACTATATAGTTGTTATGGTTTTTTTGTTGGTTTTTTTTTTTTTTCCAAAGCATTGAGCAGACCCTTTTGAAATTTCTGTAAAACACCTCTCTTAAGCAAACAGGGCACCAAGCTGAAGTTCAGTCTTTGCTTGCATACACAAACTGAAAGAGCTAAAGGTGTAACAGGGCTGCTGCAAACTCCCTTCTGTGCCTCGGAGGAATCTTACACTAGAATGATAAGGATTTTATTTGACCTTTCAATTTAAAGTCTTTCCTGATTGTGATGAGTGACAGTATTTTCAACAACATGAGAGTTTGTTACAGGAAATTTTAGTGAAGGGCTCTTTTGTTCTGCCTGTACTATTCTTAAAGTATTGTCATATTGAATGCATGTATCTGTCAATTTCTTTTAATGGTTTGACTGAGAGTTGTAAATGGTGATGAAGCCAAGGTCCTGAGCTTTGTGTCTTTTCAAAGTATGAAGTGATGGGTTTGTCCATTTACAGAAAAAAAGAATGAGTTGGAATAGTCAATTCTGGATTTATCCAAGGCTGGGTTTAGCCTTAAGGTCTGAACAAAAATTCACTGTTTTCACCTTGGGTTTTAATACTCTAATATTTCTGTTTCATTAATATTTGGGTATATTTATTTTACTGTCCTTATGGTGTCATTTCGCTGCATATGTCTTGTCATTCTTTAGATTGTAGTTTTTAGTATGAAGACTTTCTTTCTACTCTCAATATTTTGTTCCTTATGAGAATTATGTTACCTAACTATGTGTATATTTAGACATTAATTTAGCCCTTAAAGAACTTGACATACCTCCCACACATTTGAAGGCACTTGTGTCTATTTACAGAAAACCAAATTTTGACCTGCAGTTTTCTTTGTAAATAAGGAACAAGGAACAACAAGGAGCTTAGGTCATTAGTTAAGAACCAAGTCATTAATTGTACAAATTCATTGCAACTATTCCTTTGCTTATATTACATAGATACTTCAAAGCCTTCACATCAATGAACCGCTTAGCAACTCAAGCTTTTTGAGTTTCCTTGATGACTCCTCTGTGCTCAGATTTTTTGCTGGATGGATGGTACTGAATCAGAACCTGAAAACCTCAAATTACCAGCCTGATTGCTGTCTCTGACTTTATAGTTCTCTCATTAGTAACAATTCTGTATTGTGGAAGTATGAAAAAGCTGATAATATTTGGATTTTTAATTGCTGAGAGATACATACAGTATACTTAAAAATGCTGCTTTATTATCAGTACCTCTTCTCTCATTCTTGTTGAAAATTTATCATTTTAAAATGAAACTATCCATTGTCCCCAGTTCATTCAGGTATTTCTTATGCTTTCCCAAGATATTCACTCATACCCACTTATTTCATAATCTGTGCAATTCTGCTATAGTTTTGTATTTTAAGAGCAAATATTCTGTGTGCTAAAAGGAAGAAAGTTCAGTAAAATGGGAGAATTACATAAACAAGGAGAAGATACCACACTTGTGTGAATTCATACACTACAGTATATTAGAACATGCAATTTCTTTCAACTTAGATGTTGAAATTAGTAGCATTAGTAGCTTACTTGTCATGGAAAATCAGTGTCATCTATTAGGTCAGAAAATCCAACTTTCCATTGCCAGTTTTAATTTCCATAAATAGAAAATCTCACATATAGTGGAAATTACATTCTCAATTTTCCTAATTTCCTATGTGTTGTACAGAGTAATAAAGAAGCCAAGAAAGCATTTGTAATGCCTCTCAGCACTGCCAGAGATTTATTAGTGTGGCAATATTAGGAAAAATAGAAATAACTGAGCCTAAGGTCACCAAATGTTTGAGAGATTGCAGCCACTGCTGCACGTGTATATGAGAAGAAAGTAATCTGATCAGTGAGGACCTTGGCTTGCTATGCTTGGCTGCTTCCTAAATACTTCTGAGAAGGTCATCAGATCTTCCTGAGTTTAAGCAGAGAGAAAGGAAAAAATGTTTGTAGTCCTTAAGAAAATCTTAAGAGTGGCCTTACAACCTGCTGGGTACCACGTGATACTTCATAATCAGGCTGAAAAGGAAAAAAAGTCTTTTGAAGATTCTACAGCAAATGGTTCAACTCTCTTTATGTTTTCTATCCTTGTAAATTTTTAAGCTTTTAGCAAATACGACAGGTGTCAGTATTACCAAAATACCAAATACTTGTGCAATAATTCACTTGAGCTAATATAAATAAAGTACACAGAAATGGTAGGGAACGAACAATGAACTGACTAATGCAATGAATCCTGATCATCAAAAAACCACCATGTAGGCATTTAGCACTGTACAGATTTACCTGACATGACAGACAAGAATTACAGTCATTTTACAGGTTCAGGAGTTTGGCCTATTTGGATCTCTTAAGTATTCAGCTGAACACAATGCTGTAAATAGAAATGTAAGTGCAGAACTTTGATAAGCCAGATGATCTTGAAAGTGAGAAGATATTTTTGCCAATGCAGAAGTCACAAAGATATCTTTGAGGCAGATGCGCACATCTAGTATCCAAGTTTTTTAATGATGGCTTCACACAGTGGTACACATTTTCTTTATGTGCAGAAAATAGCTGAAAATGTGTAGGTAGTAGTGACTGACTCAGTGCTCCAGCCCCCTGATTATCTTAGTCGCCCTCCTCTGGACCCTTTCCAAAATCTCTCTGTCTTTCTTGTACTGAGGGCTCCACACCTGGACACAGTACTCCAGATGGGGCCTCACAAGAGCCGAGTAGAGAGGGACAATCACCTCCCTGTCCCTGCTGGCCACCCCTCTCCTGATGGAGCCCAGGATCCCATTTGCCTTTCGAAAGGTCAAGCTGGGCACAGATACTGAGAGCAGATCCCTGAAGTTCCCAAACCTCTGCAGGCATTGAAGTGCTTTGAAAGGCACAGGCATTGTCCCTGATGAACCTGCGGACACAGAGGATAATAAACTCTCAGTAACTGAATTAGCAGTAAACAAATATAACCTTGTTCATGAACTACACAGGGGTTGGTGTAGAACTGAATACTTGTTCTCTCCATTTGTTTTTTGTTTTATTTCTTGCACAGGAGGTTACACAACGAAACCTCTTTTCTACAAGAGCATTGTTACAAAATAGCATCCATGAATCCTTTTCCTGGTCCCTTCACGCATGGACTTGTTAAATGACACTTGATTTTAAGCTGTAAATAAAAGACATAGCTGAACCAAGGGTCCTACTCTCATTTGCTGCTGAAGCTGGAAGGAATTACACGAGATCACAGAGTGCAGACAGAAAACACAGTTATGTGTTTAAGGTTGCTAAGGCTGGTGAGTTTCATAGGATTATGTCTCTGCCTCTGCTATGTGATATGCCTTAGTAAAATAAGACTTGCCAGATGTGGAATGTTCCCTATTTTTAAGGCAAATATAAGGTTAAATTAGCCATATTCATTCTTGTGTATTATTCACATTCCACTTTTATGAACATGACAACAACAAAAACCCGCAAAATAAACCCTCACCAAAAACAAGCAAACAAAACAAAACAAAACCCAAAGCACAAATAAATAAATAAAACAAAAACCAGAGAAAACTACTGATTTGGTCTCCCTACAAGAGTTCAGAATATCTTTTTTTTTTTCTTTTTTTTCCTGGTTGTTAAAATAGTGGCTTATTGAAATTAAGTTAATAATTTAAGGAAATGCATCAGTATCATGCAAAGGAAATTATGTTTGTAGTTCACTCTGAATATGAAAGAGGATAAATACAATCATGTTTTAAACGAGTCAGCTACTAAGTTGGTCAGAAGAGATTTCTCCATAAAAGACCTTCAGTTGTAAGGACAGAAGAATTAAAGTCTCTTGAAAATGTAAGCAAAGAAAATGTTTCTTGTTTAACTCCTACTGAGTTCAGCAAAATACAAATTCATGACTGTCATTCTTTCTAAATGAAAGCAATTGTATTAACAAAATGTTTGATCCCATCACCGGTCTCCACTTGTAAAGGGAACACCCGCAAGACCTCAGATTGACTGATCTCTGACATGAAAACAGGCCACCCACTGAAAAATGAATATGAAACAAAACATTGAATAGTTGATCATCAAGAGGCATTACTTACTGTGTACTCTGACCAAAATAGGCTTCCTGGGTGCGAAAAGCAAGTCAAGTTTGTATAACAACTATCATAATGCAGATACAAAGCATGAAAGTAACTATTTCGTAGTAGTCTTTATTCTGTCATTTATGTCTTAATTTTCAAATGCTGGATTTTTGCCACTCTAACGATGTTGTTTTTTTCCAATTGTATGCATATGGAATTCTATTTCATGTATCAGGAATTCTGTATTCCATGTATCAGGAGTAGGATTACTGCATAAACTGAGATCAGCACACAATACATTGTCCTCAGAGACCTCAACTCCATTTATAGAAAGACATTAGAACAACATTTGTTAACTCAAATAGATGATATTTCAAAGGGAGAAACTAAACCACTGTATTCAAAAATTATTCCTTTGTGCTTCTAGCTATATTAAAATTAGAATCATGACTGAGATTTGCAAAACAGCAGTGAGAAAATGAAAAAACAAAACTCTTCCATTTTAATTAGTTAAATTCCAAGTTAATCAAAGCATTTTAGCCATATATACTATCTCATTAAAGGAAAAAAAGTACTTCATGGAAACATATCTATTTTCATAGCACTTTCCTGTGGACATCTTTGTGGGCATTTCTGACCAGAGAGAGAAAGAATGGGGATGAGAGGCGCTTACATCTTCAAACAAGAGTAAGCAACAATGTATAATCGTATTTTAACCGGATAAAATGCTTGTATGGGACAGGGAAAGTTCATTACATCACTACTGACCTAACAACTCACTACAGTTTTGTTTTGTTTCAGAATAGGGTGTGAGGAATTCATGATGACCAAAATTCTGATCCCGAACCACAAAAAGAAGACACAATGGAAGTGACATTTGCATATGTCCATTTATCAACTTTAATTTTGGGTAAAGTTATGTAAATTCCAGAGTGATGAGTAAACACTGATATTTCTAGAACTGTAAAATTCCCATCCAGGAGAGCTCCCAAGCCCATTTCCTCTCCTGCAAGATAGTACACAAATAATAATAGGTTTAACTGTGATTGAAGTCAAGGAAACTTTTGCATATATGTAAAGTTGTTGGAACATACGGTTGTGTGATTTATGGGCACAAATTCTGTTTACCGCTAGGTAAAGCTGAACAACAGATAAAGATCTTTTTGTAATTCTAGATCTAGTAAAAAGTACCTAAAATACAAAGATTAATTAGGACAACACTGGCTGGAGAGGAAGAAATAAATTCAGGTCCTTTTATAAACAATAAGTGTATGAACTTACACAATAATTAATTCAGTATTTTTTGTGTTTTCTTTCCTCACATGTAGGTAAAAGAAATATCATTTGTTTTTAGACAAAGAAATTAGTCTGATAAAATTATCTAGTACAGTAAACACCCAATTGAATTTTATGAGGAGGTTTCAGAGTACATCTTTCTGGATATATTTAAACTAAAAAGGCCAAATTTAGGAGAACAATATCATGAAATATGAATTGTAGGGAACCATAACAAGTCAAAATTAGAAGTTTGCATTCATGTAGCTTGTATTGCAGAATCAGAAGGTGCAAGTTCTGCCAACTTGGACTCTCCTTTAAATTTGGCCCACTAATCAAAAGTAGCAATATTTAAATGATCAGATTAGGTATTCATATCCATGTCAATCTAGAAGCAATTTTTATAATACGTAGTGCAAGTTAGAGTATTAGCCCACAACAAGATCATTCTAAAGCATAAATAATTCTTTCAATAGTCCAGTATTTTGTCACACAATTCTTTATGTAGTTAAGCTTGCATAGGAGCAGTCAAGGCCTCAGAAAGTTACTGAGCGTGTAATGAAAAGAGCAGACTGAGGATTCATAGTCATCCATTCAAACTGCACAGAATGAAAAAAAAAACATGAAAAACAATGCAGAAATGCTTTTGGTAAGCAGTACATGAAGGCTTAAATTGCATGTAACCTTCAATCTTGCTATCTCTAATGGAAATTTCAATAGAAGTCTTAAAATAATGGCTACCTTTGCATTAACTTCATTTAATGATCTCCACCACAGGTTCTCTGAGGGATTAATACTGTTTGCTTTCTTCATGCTCATTTTCAGGTATCCTCTGTGGGAGACTGCCAAAAGGTATTACTAATGCAAATGAGAAGAAGCAGCTCTTTCTTAAACAGTTAAAAGCCTCACTCCACTCCCAGTGCAGAATTTTGTATTATGTACACGGTCATATATTAAAAATAAAAATGAAGATGTTTGGCCCCCAAGATTTCTTTCCTTCTGAGGCTGGGACGGACAATTTGGATCTTGCTCAGATACCAGGTTGCTGCCTGATAACCATGCGTAAGGCTGTTATAACGTGTGTTGTTGTGACACATCCATCCCAAGGATATGACAAGAATGCAAGAGTGTCTCTTGTCTTGTACATCTTCTCTAAGCATGGATTTGACTGTACAGGAAAAACTACTGAGTGGTTACCTCTAGGGAAATAAAGAGTAGCAAAATAATTATTCTTACATGATTTACTTTAAGTACAAAGCATTCTAAATTGAGAAATTACTTAAAAATATTTCTAAGTAAGTGATACCAGAAGAAGCTTAATCATATAAAGATTCAATTAACCAAGACAAAAATTAAGGCTTGCTGTGTCTTTCTTGCACTCTCAGCTTTCTACGTCTTCTAGTCATTCCGTAGAACACAAAATAGAAAAAGAAGCATCTCTGGTGTCAGTAACAAATTTTTTTAATCACTGTTTTTTCCAATGAAATTATGCATGAACTCCAATAAACCACACTCAGTGCCTGAAGACTGTAAGATATTTTCTGGCAGGTATCTTGCTTGCGAAAAGCTGCCCTTTTGCCAGCCACCATACCCATCTTGGGAGCAGCTTTTCTCCCTGGATTTGAAAACATTTGAGAATAAAAGTTATTATTTTCAGTGCTTATTTGTGCAGTTTATTGAGTTTGCAACCACAAATTGTGTCAAGATAACCTAAGTAAGTTTTCTGTCTGAATAGGCTGCCTTAGAAGTCTTATTTATCTGAAGGATCTAGTCAGTGATTATCCTTTTCTATGCAAAATAAGCAACAGCATAAGACAAACAGGGCTTTCTACATTGGAAATAGCACTGCCTTTCTTTACTTTTTATTAAGTCGGCTAGATAAACACTGATTAATCTATGGTTAAATTCAGTAATACAGTGCCTATGTTGCTAGCGGTGAAGAGTTACAGGATTTCATGTCCAGTCTGTCTGTCAGGAATGAGCCATTACCAGAACTGAGGTGGCTGTCAAGAGACAAGAGTCTTTCTCTTCTGAGCACATCTCACTTCTATGAAGAAGTTCTCTCTTGAGCTACTTTATCAATATCCACCTACCTCTTGCCAGCAGTTCACTTTAAATATCCCATCTAAGTTGCAGATGCATGATTGGTGCTGGCTGATCCAAGGTAGGTTTTTCCCAAGAAGCATATTCTTTCTCCTCTCTGGCCAACTACCCTTTCTACTCCCTCAGCCAAGGCCAGTGCTTACAGTGGATGGACCAGCGACCTGAACCAGGTGAAAATGAAGACAATTTTTGGATTTTGTGTATGTGTGTTTGCTGAATTACCTTCCAGATGAATCAGTTCCCTGATTCAACTGCCCACATGGCTGCTTGCGTGCCTACACTAGGAAATAGGAAGCAGCAGGGCTGGGTGCTGTTATGACTTTCCCAGTATAAGTTCAGTTTTAGGTTAGTTAACTCTGACTATGACACCACACCCTTCTCTCTGGAGAAACGGAGTCTCACGGAACCATACGGTTTAATAAACAACAGTCTAACCAGTACACAGCAAGTACAGATTAATCCAAGAAAGGCTCACCAGCTGCTTTCAAGGAGGTCAAGCAAGTTGCATGTTTGTTTACTGCTTCACTAAACATTCATTTTTTAACTGCTGATTGATAAAATCATAGACATCAATATCTAGAAAGCTCCCTTTTCTTTTCTCTCCCCCAAAGAAAAAGAAAGAGTTCAAAATACTGCTATGTTGATAGGAGACCGCAGTGCATATTGTTTAACTGGTTGTCTGTGTAGAGGCCCAGTTTGCATAAATCAGAGCAGAGAAATGGAAGTTTGGATTTTTTTATTATACAACCAAGTTTTCTAAAGATGTCTTAATTTATTGTTCAGGAAATGGCACCATTGTTTACTTGAAACAGATACGTTGATTAAGTGGCCTGAGGGAATTTTGTTTTAAAGAGACAGGCTAGCCATTAATGTGAGTAAGAGTGTTGCATTCTTCATGACAATGGCAATTAGGAAGATATTTGGATTTGAAGATGGTTAGCAAAAAGGATGAAAATCTTTTCCAAAAATGATATTTCCACATGTTCAAAGCTGAAATTGGTCCAGCTGTTGGGACAGAACTCAGATTTCTCAAAAGTATTGCTTAATATCAGCAAGAAATTATCTAAGGAGAATCTCTGTAATTTCCATGGTATTAACTGCAATGCATTCAATATACAAATTAGGAGACCTGACAGGGTGCTATGTCAACATCTTAAATCCCTCAAGTTTAATTATCCTGTACACAGATTAGCAGGATGTTGGTGAGCAGAAACTTCTCTCAGTTCCTTTCTCCATGAAACACCCCCACTGAATCCTCCCAATTTCTTTATCTGGACAACAATGTCCATAATACTTCCACCTTCTCACCCTTCTTTCCAGATTTTAGTCTTCCCATCTCCTCAAAACCCACACAGACATATCTTCCCTTCCTTTTCCTATTTAGTTCCCAGAAACTCACCAGTTTCCAGCCCACTGATCTTCCCACTAAACCCTCCTGGCTTTCCTCATTGTACTTAGCTACCAAGAGATCCAACATCCTACAGGGGCTAAATTAAATTCTGCCATTCCGGAACTAATCTATTTTCAAATTAGGTCTAATTTTGTGCATTACTGAAAGGGCAAGTATAATAAGCCAATTTAAGAGGAGAAAGATAAATCCAAAACATTTTACAACTGTACTACAATACTCAATGCATAACACCGAAGAACTCTGCTTTGAATGAGGTCATGTTCCCATGCTTTCTGTATCTAAACAAATAAATGCTTTAACCTACTGCGGAGCAGAACTGACCTGTTCCACCATAGCACGACTGTGTGTTGTCATACAGTAGCTCAAAATCTCGGCTGTATGCAGATGTTGCTGTTTGCAAGATTGGAGAAGTGAGAGGCTTGTTAAGCAGCTAGTTGTGGTTCCAGATTCTTCAGCTAATTCAGTGCTTGTCTGGACAGCTCTAAACTATACCAGCTGCTAACAGTCCCCCTTGGGATAATTTTCTAATTGCAGATTACCAGACACAGCAGGGCATCCCTTTCTTCTCCAGGGGTAATCCTCGTGCTGGGATGGAGGGAAGGAGATTTATGAACCGAGTATGCAAGCCTCAGATTAAAACTATCTGCATAGTAGAGACGACTAATAAGCTGGTGAATACTTGAGTGACTTCTGGTGCTTTTGTTCTTTGTCATACAAGGAAAATAACATTTGCCAGGCTAAAAAGCAGCCTGTTAATTCAGCACGGTGGGTGTTGTATTCCACAAGGACTTCATCACAGCTTATTCCGGTGATTGGTATCTGGGTTTATACTAATTCAGGACTGAGAAGTTGTACCAAGTTCTTGTTTCTGTGTCATCACTTGTACTGAACTCACCCATCTGATCCTCCTCACTTGAGAAAGACTTTATCTCATGTCTTTTCCCACACCACAGATCTGATTGTGAGGTTCTTGTTGCTACCTAGACTGAGACTCAAAGAACCTGAAGCTCCAGTCTGTAAGCCTAGGACATTATTTCAGATGAGAAAGTTTTAAAAGCAGCAGCAGCCCTTAAGAAAAAAAAAACCTTGTTAGTGGCTTCTTTTATTTCTCCAAATATTACAAAAATATTTTGAAGCTTCCATTATAGTGTGGGATACTATTTTTTCTTACCAATCTTTGGAAAGTGATGAAATCCTGTATGACAGATGACAAAACACTGAGCAAGATTTCAAAAGCCAGGATCTGTTTTGTGACTGGCTCTCAAAAACCACAAAGCTTCCAGAAATTTTTACTGCTGAGACCCAACCTAAATATATTTCTGTTGTGCGTTCTATAGTGCATGAAGAATTTTTCCTACCTGTTGCTTCTGGCAGGATTTTCTTAACCTGTCACTAGAGGGCAACACAGCCACTCATATCGTTACAATACTTCCATCTACTTCCAAGTAACTGCTGAGATTCACAGGTGAGAATTTCACTTCAAAAATTGTATTTTCTTCCTACAAAATTCATGCTCAGATATCAGTCTTAATAGTTGCTTGTCAAATACATTTCATTGGATGACCCTGAATGTTTCTGAGAGGAGAGCAGTCAATGCTGTTTACAGCAGTAGAGCTTCATTTACCTTGCTTCATTATAGGAATCATTTTCCACTGTAGTGCTGAGAATGATATTGCAGTCAGTTTCAGCCTACGTGGTGCCTGATTTGACACTAGGAGATTCATCACTGACAGTTTTACACAGTATTTGGTGTTTAGCTCTGACTTCTAAGAACAAACTTGTAAACTAGTATATCATTTGCCAAGTTTGGATGAAACTGACCTTCTGAAGAGTAATTCAGGAGCAATAGGTATCCTCAAGCTTTGTACTTCCTATTACAATGCAGGCTTAAAACAATCAAATAAACAAACAAAAAAGGATTCTGATACACGTAACTCATACTAACACCCCAAAGGATGACTTGTCCTATCTTGCGAGCACCTAGCGTGGAAACAATCTATCATTTTGAAGTGTTTTCGAAATTCCTAAAAACTGGAATGCTCTCATTTAACCGTGACTCTGTTGGCTATAGTAAAGAGTGGTGTGATTTCAAAAGGAGATAATGCTGTGCAATTATCAAAGGTGTTTTTACTCATTTCACTGAGATTAATTTTTACAGCCCCCTGTCATTTCACAATGCTGCCAACACCCTAACAGTCATAGTTCTCTGATTTCACGTGATTACAGTGGGATAGTTTCCAAGTGTGTATATGTGGGATTACGAGTGAAATCATTTTCTTTCCTGCTTACTCAAATGGTGTCACCAGATCATCTTTCAAGGTGCCTGTGTATATGTATGTATATATATACATATTTATATACGTATATAAATACACACATTCAGGTCTCACATGTTGAAATGTGAGTCCAATGTACTTGACTTCTACCTCCTGCTTCTCCGAACACATTCAGCCCACACATTCAACCCAACAGCTTCTCTCCCGTGCCTTGTAGCAAATGCAAGTAACTGCAACCATTAACATCCTTTAAGTAAATAATATAAGGATACCCATATTGATGTCTCGTAAAAATGTTCTTTGACAAAATGTGAGGAAAAGTCTTGTAAACTTTTGATTGTTAGAAAACAGTGGAGTTTGAGTGTGGAACAAGGGTTATGGGGCTGCTACCTCCTGCAAAAGTCCATGCTAGAAGGAGCATCATTCAACAGAAGTCTAATGTTATGTACTCTGTTAAATCAAGTAGCTTTAAACATTCTATCCCTTGTCAGATGGCACAAGGTAGTTCTTCCCATGAACTAAGGCTACTTAAGATGCCTGAACACAGATCTCTTACCACCATTTTTAGATGTTTATGCTTGGGATATAGATGCTTGCACCAAAATACACTTTGATGTTTTTCTTAAAGCTTCTGGGTTAAAAAATAAGAACAGGAACAAACTTTTTATTTATCAGAGCCTTTTATCCAGAATACAGGATCTGTTATTTTGGATTGGATCATGCACTGATTTGCTTCTCTAAACTCAGAAGGCAGCAGAGGGCATCCTGCTGTGAGTTGTAAAGAAAACTGTCCTTTGACTTGCTCACCCAAGTTCTCCAGAACATATGAACACTTGTATTCCAGCTCACAGCTGTAGCTATATCGTATTTTAAAAGAAATCTTGATGCCATCCCAACTTTTGATGCAGGAACTCAACTTCAATTTTTTCTCTCAGCCCTTTCCAATACTAAATAAGACAATGAAAGGTGATGAAAATGCGCCTGTGGTGAATCCCAACAACAGGATATCCCCAAAGCAATGTGGTTAGCACAAAAAACAAGAGAAGCACTTATTTCGTAGATATAGTCCAAGCCTATTAAAAACTGATTTTAAAGAAAAGCTGCCAAGCAGAGATTTCGTCAGATTTGGACACCCATATTCTCTTAGGAGTCGCTCTGCACACAGCAGGCGTGGTTCAGCCCCTGCTAAACCTCAGGGGGAGGAAAACAAGGAGCAAAACCGCGCGGGGACACGGTGCTCCCTCAGGAACAGCCCCACCTGAGCCAGCAGCAGCGATAGCCGGCGGTGTGCTACAGCCCGTTTCCCCCCGGCAACCTACGTGGAGGGTCGTGGAAAGGGAGAATGAGATGCGAGGCGGCAGCTCCACGGCGGATGCAGGCCACGCCACCCCCGCGCTGACGGGAGCGGCCCGCCGCTCAGGTGAGAGCCGCCGGCGGGGCGGGTGAGGGAGCTCCCCCCTCCCCTCCCCTCCTCCCTCGGCCCCTGGGCGGGCCGGGGGACCTGAGTGGATGGAACCGGCGTCAGTCAGGGGCAGGGCGAGGCCGGGCGGCGGGGATGGCGGCCCCCGCCCGGCGCTGGGGCTGCAGTTGCGAGGAGCGGTGGCAGCATGCGGACGGGAGCTGGGGTAGGAGCGCTGGGGGGGACACCTGCTCCCCAGAGGGGTGGCGGGCGGGCTGTGCCAGAGCCGGGCACCCACGAGCTCTCCGATCGCCTTCCCTCAGCGGGGTCACGGGTTTTTGGTTCGTCTGCTTCTTTCTAGGAGGCGGTGGGCGTCCTCTGCCTGGTCTCTCTGGTGTTCGCGCTGGACTACAAGTACCACCACAGCGAGGAGCTGGAGGCGTACCTGAAGGAGGTGCACGCCGCCCACCCGGATCTCACCCACCTGCACAGCATCGGCCGCTCGGTGGAAGGTGGGTGCGGCGGGGAAGCGCCGGCTGGTTTTGCTCTACTGGGGACGAAGCAGCGTTCCCCTGCCGAGGAGGGGTCGCGGGGGTCCTGCGCTGACCGCGGGCGCCGGGTGCTCTCTGCTTCGGTCTCTCCTGAGTTTCCTCCGCCTCTTGCTTGAGCGCGAGTAACCAGCTCTGATGTCACCACGGCGCTGCGGCTTGGGTGGAAGCCCTCCCGACGCCTATCTCTGTTGCGAGTAGAAACTACCGAGTGGCAATTTCAGAAGCGGGGCTGTTGCTCAGGAGCTTAAAACGCGTTTATCCCGTGGGCTAAGTACTCGTCTCAGGCGGGCTGCAGAGGAGCATGTGTCTTCTAACCTGTGGGCATATTTGAAACACCCACCCTCTCTTGGCCTTGTCTGTTACTTGAGTAAATTGGGACAGAAAGGAAAAAGGGTATCAAATACCATATAACAGAGATTGTAAGTGAAGATTTAGGATTTCAGTCTCCACCCACATAGGAGAAATCTCACTCAGTAACCACCTTTCTGATCTTACATATTAAAACTTTTTTTCCTCTATGATTGGTGCTTCATTGCAATGCTTTATTTGGGGGTAAAGCTTTATGTGTTCTTTGAATGTTAATCTTTCTAATATCTTTATTAGCAACCTTAACACTTGCCTGACTTTGAGGAAAAAGGGAAAAAAGGCTATGGAGATCTATTCAGAAAACAATCGTGAGGTATAAAACCAGATCATTCTTTGGAAACATCTCTTTCTCTAATCCTACTTTATATTACTACAATTAAAGTATTTGAAGCTTGTTTTGCTTCAAGTTTTTATTATTCTAGGTAGATAACAGTGAAGAATGCTGACAGTTTATTTCTGCACATCCTTCCTTGTGTTACTGTAACTTCTGGTTGAAAAGAGTCTGGTCTATTTCAGCAGGGTAGCAAACAGCTGTCAGGTAGCTATGGACATGTGATCCCGTCTCTGTGCATGTCTACGCTCATTTCTAAGGAAGCCTTTTTATGGGAAGGTTCAAACTAGACAAGGAATCTTGAAGTTAGTTACACTGTGGTGTCCTTGCTTTCATCAAAGGCAGAATCATATTCGGTTATGTTTTTCACTCACATAAGAAGTCTGTACAGTTCCTCATGTACAAACTAATTATCCACATTTTTGTATCCCTACCTTCAGGGGACTTAGGTAATTTTTTTAATTATTTTTTTTAATGATAGAACTTGATTCTGACTTCTCTGACACAATCTCTGTTGGCTTATCTTTCTGCTGCTGGGACAAAAATGCTTGTTCAACCTGAGACTAAAATTTTGCCTTTCATATCTAGACATCTGAAAGCAGGTAACATGAAGTGTTCAACTTGTCTGACTTTAATTAGCATGAAAACAAACTGGAAATGCATCATGTCTTGACTGTGAAAGAGTGTGCCTTGAAACTTTATTCGGACTTCAGTATGTTGCCTTCTGCTTTGCCAAACTGTGGGAGGGAAGAGAATTATGTGGGCTCTTGCTTGCTCTGTCAGCATATCTTCATGATCCCCAAAAAGATTACCGGTTACTCTTTATGCACTTCTTGCACACCTGCTGTATTCCTCTGAATGGAATACATGGACAGTAGAAACATTCTCTGTATCAGGTAAGCAGAGTGACAATGGAAAGAAATAAAAATAAATGAGGGGGGGGGAAATTAGAAAAGTACTGAACTTTTTTAAGCATTAAAAAGATTTCTTAAGAAATTTGCATTTAGAGTCCCATGAAATACAGTAGAGGATGGGACTGAAATAGGATCTTTCAATTCACTTGCTCATACTAAGAGAAAGTTTTGCGACAGCAGTGGTTATATAATTTTGCTTAAAATGAAACTTCAAGTATTGGTCAATGAGCTGAAGTTCCAGTCCCCTCTTCTATGTTAAGCTGGTGAAAGCAAGAATGCATGTATGTATACACATGTTGTATGGATATAATACTGTTGTCAGTTAGCTAAACTATGAGAGCAAAATCATGGATAAGAAACAGAATTTAAATATTAGAAAATTCAGTAGTAAGTCTCTTGTTATGAATTTAAATATAAAATATTATGAATTGGAGAGGTGACTATAAAGTCACTAGATGTAATTTTACTGTTGCTATGAATGACTACTGTTTTCAGATTGCTACTTATTAAATAACATCAGAATAAGGCCTAGATTAATCTAGTATTACATACTGCCATTAAGATTTGAATTATGCCAAATGTGAAGTGAGAACTTGGGTTTTTCAATTTATCTTTTTATTATTTATCTTTGACTTGAGTGGACCCGGAGCTCTGTAAGGGTTTAGGATCTGTCCTTGAAGCCCAGATGTGGAGGAGTGTATCACCTCTTGAAGAGATGACTGCAGGTAGTTCTACAGAAATAGCTGAGTGCTCTTCATGCCTGAAGTCACACGTGCTCCAGACAGGGTAATTTAGGTCTTGAGGCCAGCTACCTTAAGCTAGCCTTGTGGGCTAACTTAAAGTTATGATGCTCAGGGCATTCTCCATTCCAATTATGACCATCTGCTAGGATAGAGATTCTATAGAATCTGAGTACCTGGCCCAGTGCTTAACTACCTTTGCTGTAAAAATAACTTTTCTACCATCTAATTAGTATTTGCTTTGTTGTGTCTTTTTGCCATGTGCCTTTAAGAAGGATCTGGATCCATCTTCTCTATAATCATAGAATGACTTAGGTTGGAAGTGATGTTAAAAATCGTCTAATTCCCTGCCACGGGCAGGGTTGCCAACATAAAAGGCCACCAGCTTGAACTCAGATCACCTTCTTGTCTTGCACGTGCCTTAAAATAACTTCCAGGAGGATCTGCTCCAGGATCTTCCCAGGCACTGAGGCGAGGCTCGTCAGCCTGTAGTTCTCTGGATCTTCCTTTCTCCCTTTTTTAAAAATGAGAGTGATGTTTTCCTTTTTCCAGTTACCAGGGACTTTGCCCAACAGCCATGACTTTTCAAATAGTGGATTGGCAAGCAAATCGGTGTTTCCTCATAACTGTGGGATACATGTCATCCAGTCCCGTGGACTTGCACACATTCAGTCTCACAAGGGGTCTCTTACTTTCACTTCTCTTACACTAGGATAGATTTTGCTCCCTCGGTCTCCACATAGAGGTTCAGAGACATTAATATATCTTCCATTAGGTAGTGGAAAGTTGTTGTAACATCATCCAGGTCAAAGAAGCCAAACTTCATCAGCTTCTCCTCAGGCATTCTTCAGTGTTCTAATCATCTCAGTGGCTCTCTATTGGACTTTCTTTGGTCTAACAGTATCCCTCTTGCACTGAGGAGCCTATAACTGGATATGGTACATATAAATTCACTAGTGCTGATAGGGGAGAATTTTCATTTCCCTCATGCTGCTGGCTTATGTTCTTGTTGATGCAGCCCAGCACAGAAGTTACCTTTTCTGCTGCAAGAGCACTCTGCTGGTTCAAGTTTGTCTTATTGCCCCTGGGGATATCCCTCCAGCTCCCTGCAACTCATAGCTTGCAGACCTGAAACCTAGGTAGTCAATTTGTAGCCTGTGCAAACAGGGAGTTATTGGATTGATAATCCCAATATGAAGTGGTTCTGTTCCAGGAGAAGGACTTTGTATTTGCTTTTGCCAAACTTCATGATTCTTTGGTTGAGAAATTCCTTCAGCTTATCAAGGCCGCTTTGAATGGCAACTCTGGCCCTGCCGACAATGTTAAACAGTATCAGCCTCAGTACTGGCCCCTGAGGAATGCTGTTAATGACTTGCTGTCACTTGAACCACAAATTGCTCGGTCTCACAGTTCAGCCTCTTTTTTGACCTTGCTGTAGCCTACTGATCTAGCCCATACGTCCCCAAGTTTGCAAAGATACTTGGAGGGGTAGTTCTGACAGCTTCACTAAGGTCAAGGTTTAAAAAAATCCAGTATCCAGTCTCTCCCACTGAGCCAGTCACTTGTTCATGACAGCTAAGCAGTCAAGTGTGATTTACCACAGATAAATATGAGGGGAGATTTAGAAAATGTGTACTTTGCCATTTATGTATAAGCATGTCAAATGAACACAACAAGACCAGTACCAAGAACCTTATTGAAAAACAATGTTAAAGATGTTCAGTCTGTTTGCAGTGATTTACATCAACACATGGAAATTCACGGCTCCTCTGCCAGGTTACTGGGAAGAACGTATTCTAGATTAGCAGCGGTCTGTTCAGTCTTCATCCTGTACAGTGGAAGAGATGATGTTTACTTTACTCATTTCACCTTGCAAGCTATTATCTTGGAGTCTGAGGAGAGGGATATGTAAGTGCAGTCAAAAAACTTAAGCAGGGGTAACGAAGGCAATAAATGAGACCTCAATACCTGGCATGGATGTCTGGCTCCTGCAGGTGGAACGTTGGGTACTGTATTCTGGGCTATCTCTATGTATGACTCTTGTGAAAGAGAAGGCTGAAAGAAAAAAAAAAAAAAAAATCTCCCCAAACCTAAATTGATGGAGCAGGTTAGTCAATGGCAGATGACAATTCCCATAAATGCTATGAAGAATCAATTTATTATGCAATTAAGTTCTAGGAAGTGCGGTTCCTCTCTTCTCAGAGACCCATCTGTACAGCAGTGACAGGCACGTATCTGCCAAAAAGAGCATTGCTTTCCTTGTGAAGTTACTTAAGGTCAGATGTGCAAATGTGTGGTGGCTCAGGACACTCTCATTCTTTGTTGCTGATGTGTTGTTTGAATAAGCTTGTAGAAGACCTTTGGCAGGAGCTGTGTTTTCTAATCTGCACAGTATTCAACCTCAGTACAGCATGTATGCTCTACAATAATAGAGAAGACTGCACAGCTGTGTCAGCCTAGAGAATGGGATGCATTGTGGCCATAATTAACCTTGCCTGCCTAATGGCAACCTAGTGGAAAACAAAGACTGGCTCTGTAGCTGATGAATCTTACAGTGTCTTTCTAAAAAAGATGACATTTCAGCGCATGTATTATCCATAGCTTTTTGTT